ATTAACATAAATTATTTTGTATGGAAAATATTAATTAATGTAATTAATTACAACTTTGATCAGGAAACTATCAGATATTTTAAATAACTAATAATTATTAATTTCCTAAAATCATCAAATAACTGAAATTGTTTCTTTTAATTATACCAAAGTTAGATAACTAATAATTATTGTCTATTCTAATTAAGGGATATTATTTTCTCCAAAATTAACGATATATTAATTAATGTAATTAATTAATAACAGAAATTAAGTAAGTGAAATTATCAAATAACAGAAATTATTAGTTTTAATTACACCAAAATTAAGGAAGTGAAATTATTTTTATTTATTTGATTTAATCAAAAATTAAATTAAGTGGAAGCCATTACATTTGAGGACTTCAGGTTATAAAATTATGAACTTGGTGAACCATTACATTTGAGTATTTCAAGTTACAAAAAGTGGAAAAAGCTGAAACTCCACCCCTGTGTACAGTGAAGAGAACTATTTCAGATGGTGGCCATTAATAGCTATTCGACTCAGTTGGTGATGAAGGCGGATTTGGCCCTCCAATAACATTTTGACACATGGCATCTCAGAACAATTGGGTGATACCCGGAACCACTTAGGCAACAACTTACCTTAGCCAAGATGATGGTGTTCCAGCTGGTGACCTGGCACTGACGCCGACCTGGCGACCTGCCTTCACCGTCGACCTGGCGACCTGCCTTTATGCCGACCTAGCAACCTCAACCACAATTCAAGTCGGCTAGAAGCACCTCATCCAGGGCCGACCTGCAGCACCTCGTCACTAGCCAAAATGACCTCGACGCAAAGGAGCGACCTCCCTCGAGGGTGTGCTGGCCTGACTGAGGTCCAGGTGGCAACCTGCGAGACGTGATCGCCGACAAATTCGACATGCATATCACAACACTCCCACGATCCTTGGAAGTTGGCCCACGTACCGAACATTCCGGAGGATGGTCAACATGCATGGCGGATCTTGGACCACTTAGGCGACCTCTCGGAAATCCCGAATGCGGTGCGTGAAGCCCACGCCAAACAATGCCTATATAAAGGCACCAACCCCAATGACATAGGGGGCAAGTAAGCACATTCTATCTCTCATACTTTATGATTTTTTAGCTCGCAATCTACTATGAGAGTACTAACTTAATCATCGAAGTGACCTCGCCGGGTTAGTCACCCCGGGTCCTCTGGCATTGATTCCTTGCAGGTTTCTCTAAAGAACTACATAGCCCAACCACCTCTCCTACTCGCCACCAGTTAGCTCGGCACCAAATCTGCCTCCAGCTCGGCACCTAATCAGCTTGGTTAGCTCGGCATCCAGGTCCTCATCCAGCAAAAGTTCTCCACTTCGACCTCTAAATCATCAGCCACTTGGAAGCAGACCGAATGACGAGGTACTTAACACAAAAAATTGATTCATTAGTTGGCAGCTATTACATTTTATAATTTTTCAACTTACAAAATGATCAAAATTGGGTGCTCGGTTTTGAAGAACTCAGTGGTTGGATTTAACATACCTGGGACTGAAAGGCAATGTATAAGAAATCGGGGCTCCAGGTGTCCCAATTATCTGAATCTCCATGATCAAGTTGAGTCACGCTTCAAGTTCTCAATGTCAATGATCAATCTCCAAAATGCTTCAAATTCTGAATGTCTACGATTAATCTCAATTCTCAACGATCAAACTGTATTCAATTGGGAGGAAAATATGTTTTCACATTAAATTGAGTTGCAAAGAGAACGGATTTGGTTGGTAGGGAAATAGTTTTTCTTGTTAAACTGGGTTAAGAGAGAATAGAGAAGATAACAGAGGGAAGTAGTTTCTAAGTATCACGACTTATAATCGTGTTTATTTCTAAGAGGACTTTGAGGTTGTTAGTTGGGGTAGGAAAGTTGAAATGTGAATGGGATTGCCATGTGGCCTATTGGGAGGCTTGGGTAGGGAAGGGAAGGAAAGAGAGAGAGAGAGACAGAGAAAGAGAGAAGGGTAAAAGGAGAGATGTTTAAGGAAAGAAGAGAAAAGGGGGGAATAGGAGAAGGAGAAGGATATAAATTCATTGTTGATCACTTTTAACCATGTTTATACATTCTTTTAGTTTCACTTAATGCCCTTTTTTTAGGCTACCATTAATATTACAGGGTTTTTCTTAGCTCTATAGTAGAGTTGAGGTAGGTGTCAACTTGGAATTGATGCCAATTTATGGGTGGGTATGAGTGTTATAGGTGGAGGTGTTTATAATTTTGAATGGTTGTAGGCCTGTAATTTAATTCAGAATTTTGACATGGAGTACAGTTAACTTATCGCCAATACTACTTTATTATTATTATTATTATTATTAGGGTAAAATATAAAAATCTCCCCTATAGTTTAACTTTAACAAAAACCTTCCTTCTATTTTCAAAAAAATCAACAAAAACCTCCCTTCCGTCAATGACTAATGGAAAACGTTAAACCTATGATAATTTTTTCCTCTCTTATTACACTAGTTTCATCCAGGTGGGACTCAAGGTGCTTGGGTAGCAAACTCTGGTTCAAGTCACATAAGAGAATGAGAACTAGAGCTCAATCTACCTCTCCAACCTGCTACTTGTGATGCAATTTTAAACCTATTGCAATTGCTTTCGTGATGAATCAACAAGCTATGTAACATCAACATAAACAGAACGCCTATGGCTGAATGGCTCTCTTCTACTTCCATTGACAAAGGCGGAGAGATAGAGAGGGCAGAAAAACAATGCAGTTCCCATCCTATCTTTGTGAAGTTGGAGCGCATCTTCTTGTTTTTAAAGAGAAAAACTCAGATAAAGAAGCAAAAAAAAAAAATTGAAAACATAAAAAGGCAACAGAGGGAAGGGGAGAGCTCGTCGTGGCCGGAGATGAACGCCGGAATGGAGGCGAGAAGCTCAGACTTGTTGTTGCTCGGAGAGATTGGGGCACGTTTCCGTCGAGAGCCCTCACAATTTTCGTTTCTTCTCTCTCTGTTGTGATGATCTGTCTGCTGCAGATTGTGACAAAATGCTTCTTCAAACCCTACAACCGTTCAATTAGAACTTTTTAGTTGGACAGATTGATCGAACAAGATGAAGTACAACCGTTGGATGAAACTAGTATAGCATGGAAAGGAGAACACATTTGGATGAAGTGCTTGGGTAGCAGATGTGCTTGAAACTAGCGTAACACGAACAAGAGAACCAGTATAAAAATCGCGTAACAACCATCGACCATCAACTACGTAACAACCAGCGTACTTCATCCATTTAGTGGCCCTTATGGTTGTTACGCTGGATGAACTACTGTAACAACTGCCCTTACGGCTGTACTTCATCTTCTATTTTCAAGCCACATGAAACTAGTGAAACACGAATTGGAGAACAAATCGGTAGCAGATGTGCTTGGGTAGCAGATGTGTAACACGGACTGTAGCAGATGTGTAGCAAACTCTGGTTCAAGCCACATAAGAGAATATCCTAGTTCCTCTCTTATTATAATTCCGCTGTAGAATATTCCAGTGAAAGAAACGAACTCCAGTGAAGAAATAAGCTAACAAGATGAAGTACGGTCATCGTTTGGTGAAGAATCGTTGCCGAAAAATGTATGGAATATTTCGGGAAGTGGAATATTCCGAGTACTGTGGCTGCTTGTAATTGTTAGGGTTAGGGTTCGAGTGTTTTCTCTATAATACAGGGAGTATAATGAGTTGCTCGAATAAGGGTAAAGATGGTATTTTATAAATAACTCAGATGATGTGTAAGGATAAAAATATAATTTTATACGTTTTCCCTCTTGATCATTGAAGGAAGGGAGGTTTTTATTAATTTTTTTTTTTAAATAGAAAGGAGGTTTTTATTAAAGTTAAAATATAAAAGAGGTTTTTATGATTGTCAGAAATTTCAAAGGAAGTTTTTGTATTATTATTATTATTATTATTATTATTACATTCATTTTGAATGCAAAAATAATTGAAGAAAAAAACAACCGAATTCACGGGTCACATAATAGTTGCATTATTACCAAACGCAACCTTACTTGTTACTTTGTGGGACACCAAACAAAGACAAGACATGAAGACACACTGTTGACACTCACAATGACAATATTACCCTCCAATAGCAAGTCAAAAGAGCAGGAAGCACAATACCTCCTAAAGAAGGGCATTAAAATACAATAAACATTTAACACCTGTCCTACAAAATGTGCATTCTGGTTCATATAATGCAACGGTTTAGCCAGACATGCAGACCACGTGTCGCACAGTCACTGCGTATGCTTATTCATTGCACAGTCTGAGTCATTTAGGAGACCGGATCTGCTCGTTACACCTTGCGCCTCACTGACGCCTCACGCGCATATCGTATCATGCATTGGAAGCATTAGTGAATATTCACAGGAGATGTTCCCAATGCATGGTGGATTTGCCTGTGAGGCGCCAAAGCCATCCAAAACAGAGGAGTAATAATTCAGTCCGGATCTGCTCCTTAGAGAGCGCATCCCAGACAGATCTCACAGCCCCATCCCACCGCACGTTCCCCATACATGGGGAGATGCTCCTAATATACGGTGGGATGGAGATGTGAGGTCTGTGTGAGGTGCAGTCAGTCAGAGTAGATCCCGATTCCCAATTCAGTGCTGCTTTTCATTGTTTTGAAGTCTTTTGGACGTTGAACAGTAAACAGTGACCGCCCCCGTCAGTCGCGACTCCACTCGGAAACAAACGCGTGAGAAGTGAACCGCCAGTGCGTCCTGCGCACCACGCGTCAACTAGATAAAGTTCCTTCTTCGGGAAATTCATGTAAATCTCTCCGAGGTTTTAATTTCATTAACATAAGAGTTTGTTTTATCCTCTTTTTAATTTCATTAACATAAGAGTTTGTTTTATCCTCTTTCTCATCGACTCGACTCATCAATCTTCATCCTTGCTCGTATCTGAAATTTTGAGATTTTTGTCGCAAACTTTGAGGTAATTCTCTGAAATTTTTGGCATTCAATCTTCTCTTGTTAAAGAAATAAACTTCACATAATTTCGGCAAGTTTTTTAGTTTAAATGGATATCAGTTATTACTTATTCCCACGTTCATAATTTCGCGCCATCTCTGCAACTGTTTGTTGCTAATCTTTGCTGGTAATCGGATAGCGTTACTTTGTATGATTTTGATTTGGTAAGATTCTGTCTTCGCATCAATTTTCCGTCCGCTCTTTATTCGAATTTTTTTATGCCTTCCTCTTATTTAGAGTTGGACTTTTATTTTCGGAATTCTATGATCTTGACCTACTCTAGGGTTTCGGAATTCAGGTTGTTCTGCTTTAAACATCGATGCAAGGGGAAGTGCAACTGGAACCATCAGGTGAACGGAATCCAAGCGATTCCGATCCCCTGCTCGTGAGAAAGGCCAACACATCAGCGGGAAGTTCAAGTGAAATAAAAGATGAAGACATAGAAGCTGCTTCTGCTGTTTGCTGTCGTATCTGCCTTGAGTACGACGGCGAACCAGGTGACGTTGATGATCTAATAATTGATTTGTTGTCCACTTTAGCAAAATTTTGCAGTTTCTCTTGAAATTGCTTGTTTTATTCCGCATTGTGTATGAAATCTGAACCGTGTGCTTTTATTAACGGTAGCAGAATTCATGGAAACTGCTGCTTTGCTATTTTAGCATTGGGTGATTCGAATGATGGAATCTCGTTCGTATCTTCTGTTGCAAAAGAATACGAAATAATTATAGGATGGCTATCAGGCTGGCCAATTTTTGGTAGATATTTGCATTCAATTATACTATAACAAACCACGCATCATCAGTTTTTCAGAAAAAAAGGGTATTTGAACCTCACGGGGAATGAAACCATACCATCAAGATTAAATAACTTTGTGAAATTCAGTGGCTTGCGGACCATGAACTTAATTCTATGCATCCAGTCTTACTGCAAGAACATATTTTGTATAGTGTGCTTTATCTTTCTTCCATATTAAAACATGGTTGTTGCTATTGGTTGAACCTTTTAGATCTTTATTTCAACAAGAGATAATGTCTTTGCAATAAAATTATGCTGCTAATACCTTACAAAGAAATAAATGCAGAGGTTGTAATTGAATATAATAAGGAACTAGTATATATTATGCCATGCCATCTTCAACTTAACTCTTACTTATTTACTTGTTTCTTCCGTACAGGCGAGGAATTGATATCTCCATGCATGTGCAAAGGAACTCAGCAGTTTGTTCACCGTTCATGCCTCGACCATTGGCGTTCAGTGAAGGCAAGTTTTAATTGTTGAATTGTAAATGGCATGGTTACTTGTATAAAGAATCTTTAAATTAAGAGAGATTTTTATTGGTACAGGAAGGTTTTGCTTTTTCTCACTGCACAACTTGTAAGGCCCAATTCCATCTTCGAGTCGAATTGTTAGAGGACTACTCTTGGCGCCAAATCAAATTTAGAATTTTCGTGGCCAGGGATGTGCTCCTTGTATTTTTGGCAGTGCAAACTGTAAGTGAAACTTTAGTGACTAATTCCTTGTAATATGTCCATCAATATATTTAATTGATGCAGGTACAAGAACAAGGACCTGACATGGGTTATAACTTATAATCTTTGCATGCCCTATGTTGCAAAATTTTTATAATGGATTTGATAGTGTATTTTTCAATGTTTTAATAACTAGACTTATGTGGACTGGGAACTGATACCTTTCACTTGGTATGGCATAAAACCAGAAAGCATTGCACAAACCATCTAGTTCTTTGGAGAACCATTTTAAATGCCCTACTTGGTACCATCAGGGTAAAAAGAAAACAAAAGGAAATCAAACAGAAACTTATTATTTTCTTGGGTCCTGCAGGGGGGACTGTTGTGAAAGAATTATATTTTTCTCATGTTTTATGTATTCCTAGGGTTTTTGGATGAAACATAGAATTGAAAGGGTTCTCAGATCCATTGGCAGTGAATGGAATGTTATCATATTTATGGATTGTCAAATAGCTGACCAATTTCTGCATATTTCTGGATCTTGGTGATTCTTATCCTACAAGGGACACAGATAATTAGGCAAAGTTATCTCAGATAATATACTGTAACGTTTTCTACTAAAACCAATCTTTAGAAATTTCAATTTTGTCCCCTCTCTCATATCAATCAGTTTCCCAAAGAAATTAATGCACTCATCAACCTTTATATTGTACAAAGCACTTGCTTTTTATGGGAGGAGCTATACAATTACCTCCTGTTTGAAGGCTTGCCTAGAGGAGACATGGTGCATGGTCCATGCTTCCTTCTGTCGAGACATAACTGAATAATTGGTATTTGGTACTGGAATCCCTTTGGCCAACACTTCTTTTTTGCCTTGTGCACTATCTATCAGATAGGTATCATGATTATCTAATCCTTATCCCAACTAAATGAGGTCGGCTACATGATTATCTAATCTTTAGAAATTTCAATTTTGTCCCCTCTCTCATATCAATCAGTTTCCCAAAGAAATTAATGCACTCATCAACCTTTATATTGTACAAAGCACTTTCTTTTTATGGGAGGGAAAGCTATACAATTACCTCCTGTTTGAAGGCTTGCCTAGAGGAGACATGRTGCATGGTCCATGCTTCCTTCTGTTGAGACATAACTGAATAATTGGTATTTGGTACTGGAATCCCTTTGGCCAACACTTCTCTTTTGCCTTGTGCACTATCAGATAGGTATCATGATTATCTAATCCTTATCCCAACTAAATGAGGTCGGCTACATGAATCCTGTTTTGCAATTCCCTTCTGTTTAGTGCCATAGCCATTATTAAATTATGAGCACTTGAATCCTTTCTTACCACTTCAACCCATGTTCTTTTTGGTCTGCCCATAGCCCCTTCAACTCTTCTTCTTATGGGTGCTGTATATGGTCTTCTATGCACTATCAGATATGGAATTTCATGTTCAAATTCTGGACTGGTTGCAAAGTCTTTTATGCTATCAACCAATTGCAGAGCAATCTTGTATCTCTTGATTCTCTTCTATTTGAATGAAGGTTCTGTTTTCTGTTGTGCCAAAAAAAAAACATTTGATGATTTTGCGTGATCTATTTGGATTGGTTAACAAAGCATATGCTTAGTATGAATTCTGTTACAGATAAAATAACACCTTTATCTGAGGTTCCCTTAGTGCTTACCAAAAGAAGAATCTTTTGTCTTTGAGCAGCATATTTCCTGTTATTTCTGAGCTTGAGAAAACAATGCATTTTCATATATGGTTCTGCTTTTGCCATTATTCCCATAAAGAATCTGCCTGTAAAATATTAAAAACAAAGTTTAATATACCTCTTGTTTTCAGGCAATTGCTGCAATAGGTGGCTTTGCATATGTCATGGACAAAAATGGGAGCTTAAGGAACTCATTCAGTGATGGTTGGGATCGTGTCCTATCAAAGCATCCAGTACCCTTTTACTACTGCATTGGTATGACCTATGATTTTCACTATTCCTCTCTATTCATAATAGGCTATTTCTTGTATTTCAGGACGAAAAAGGTCGTTTATGGTAATTTAACTATGTAAAAATGCTTACTAGTGACTGAAATTATGCCACAAAGGTGCTTAGTTTCTGAAGATTTCACAAAAACTGAATAGTATGTGGAAAATTATGTAAACATACTGAATGAAATTAATCTCAGAAATGGTACAAATTGGATACACAGTTTGAAGAATTTCCACTATATTAGGCTGGGCCCTTTCAAAATTTGATAAATGCTCAATCCAGGCCCACCCAAGTTGCACACCCTACTTGCACATAGACTCTGTTTCTTTGTTTTGTTACTATAAATCAATAATATTTCTACTTTGTGACCTCAACCAAATAATGAGGAAACTTTAGGTACTTTTTAGTAAAGACTGTCTACCTAGGGCATATCTATAAAGGAGATGCACATTTTTTTGGTAATATATATAAAAGAAAATTTTATTAAAATAAGAGAAGGTACAAAGAAGGTGACAAGAAACCACCCAAAAAATCAAATCCTTCCAAGCCCCTTGAAATACAAAAACTTTTCCCTTTTCTTTATCCATTAACTATAATAGCACTCTTGCTGTCAAAACCCATTACCCTCAGAAGACCCAAAGCTTGCTCCCTGAGCATCCAAACACAACCCTAACAATAACCAGTTACTAATCAAAACTCCATAATAGAACTTTCCTCACTCATCAAAAACTTTTCTCTAATTCCCTTAACATTTTTCTTGCAAAATCTTCCCCTCCCAAAACAGATAAACCCAACAATTTTTTTTTATCAGTAGCCCAACAATTTGCTTACCTGGACTTCAGCTCCCACTATCTTTTCAAGTCCACTTTTTCATCTATTTTTCCAACTTGATCAACAATAACCTCCTCATCTTCCTCTTTCCCTCCTTCAAGTACTTATTCTATTTCATCCTCCACTCCCATCCGAGCCTCCTCTCTTGCCCCAATATCTTCTTTACAAGCTTCAGGAATAGGACCCATCTTCAATAACCTTTTCATCTGCCTCTTTCCCTCCTTCAAACACTTCTATTTTATCCTCTGCTCCCATCTGAGGCTCCTCTCTTAGCACAATATCTTCTTTACAAGCTTCAGGAATAGAACCCATCTTCAAACAATCTTTATCCTGGTTTGAACTTTGAAGGAGCCTCTCCAACCTTGGACTCACAAGGCCAAGGAAAATACCTCTTATGTCAAAAGCTGAAACAATTTAGATGATATCGATATGTCATGGAATGGCATGACAATATTCTTTAAACCAATTATTTTTTTTTAAAGAGTAAAGAAGAAATTTATTAAAATAAAAGAGAAGTACAATCTGTTGGGTGTCAAGTTGACACACCACCTCATTCACTACTAAGAAACAAGTTTACATTACAAGGTTGAATCTCAAGAACTTCCTAGAAATTTTCCACCAGATCTGCCTTGTTAACTTGCTCAAAATCTGTGAGAATCAAAACCCAGCTAGAGACCAACTTTCCTACTGAGGCCACCAAAACTTCTATGCCTTTACATTTGTCTTCAAACAGCCTCCTGTTCTAGCATCCAACGCCACCCACTCACTGTTGCCCCTTCCCCAAAGGTTAAAGGCTTGGCTTGACATGTTCCAATGGTCCTGGGGCTCTTTTTGCATATCAGTCAAGCACAAAATAATTGGTCTTAAGCCTCCCCCACATCTCAGGTTTGAATCATGGAGAGGTCTCTACCTAGGAGAAGAGTTACTTGGAGCAAAGTGATAGCTGTCACATGAAGGGCTAGCTGGAGTGGGGGTGAAAGCTACCATGGAAAGTGCTACTTAGAGCAGAGTAAGAACTACCAAAGGGAAAAGGCTACCCACTGCCAGAGTGAGAGTCATTGTGGAAAGGACTACCGACTACCGGAGTGAGAGCTATCTACTGCCAAAGTGAGGGCATCGAGGAACAGTTCTAAGGCTTTTATATTGGTCAAGCACATAAACATTAATTTCCATTGGTAGTACAAGATGAGAAGAATCTGATTTTTGTGATCACCCTATCAAGTCAAATTTTTAGAGTATCTCTGGAGTTGAATAAGGTCTATCATAATACCATAGATACAAAGTTTTATTGCAGGACATAGCTAGTGAATTTGTTGGACTGTCTTTGCAGTTTTCTCTGTTTTTGTTACATTGCATGATTTGATTTCTTGATACATGAAATATTGCAGATAGTAAGAAATTAATATACGAGTACATCTTATTTTTTCAAAAAAAAAAAAGTGTTGCACTAGTTAACAAGAAAAATGAAGATTCGGAATATTAGAAAATAAGAACATTTTACCAATTACTTTCTTAATTGGTAAAATAAGAAATGATTCATTGTGAGATATCTATTACTCCAAGAATTTTTCCATTACAACCCCCCCCCCCACACACACACACACATACAAAATGTTTTTTTTTTTTTTGAATTACAATAATGATGCATACCTCATCATCATCATCCAAGCCTTATCACATCTATATGGGGTCAGCTACATGAATCCTGTTTCACCATTCCATTCTGATTAATTATTTAAAGCCATACCCATTGTTATAATAATGATGCATACCTTCTTCCACATAATTAGATTACTTCATTAATGAAATTACTGACCTTGTTGCAACCAAGTCTGCTCCAGTTAATCATGTTCCATTTACTTACTGCATAGCAGGATGAATAGGCCAATAGAATCATCTATAATTTCAGGTTAATTTGAGATTTACAAACATTTCTTGGATCTGCACCCTGTTTGACATTTCCATATACAATGCAGGAGTACTGGCTTTTTTTGTGCTGCTGGGCTTTTTTGGGCTCATACTGCATTGCTCCTCTTTCAACAATAATGACCCATGTATGGCTGGCTGCCGGAACTGTTGTTATGGATGGGGCATATTGGACTGCTTCCCAGCATCTATGGAAGCATGTTTTGCTCTCGTTATCATTTTTGTTATCATCTTTGCCATCCTTGGTATCGCCTATGGTTTTCTTGCTGCCACCATGGCCATCCAGAGGATCTGGCAAAGACACTATCACATCCTCACCAAGAGGGAGCTCACAAAGGTAGGCCACCCTGGCTTTCTTTTCATTATGAAGAGGAGATTCATTTCCATGGTTACCCCAAAAATGATAATGATTGTGCAAATCATTTACACTTCATAATAGCATGAAGGGGGTGTTCTTTTTTTGGATTTTGAGAGGGGGGAAAGTTGGTCAATGGGATTTTGGTTCCCATTGACCAAGAATCCCATGTTATTTTTTCAGATTTATGTGGGGACCAGGGAAAGTTTATTTTCCTGGGTACCCATCTCCTAGGTGGATAAATAACTTTCCCACTTGGGGGGAAGTTGCCAACACTTGAATGGGACAAAAATGTCACTTTCAATATTATATTTTTATGGCTAAAATGATTATTACCTTATTTACCTAAGAAATAAAAATACATGGGTAAGTAACTTACCAAAAAGCGAACAGGACCGAATAATTTCATCTTATCCTGATCATACGATGATGGGGCTCCACATCCCATTACTCAGTTTGGTTCTACTCCAGGCCACACGATATATGCAAGTTAGCCTTATTCAATAAAACCACTGGACCTTGTCTTTTGGGAAACCCATTCTTCTCGATCCTACAGAAACCTAGCTACCTGGTAAACCTGGAGTACGTGAACTTTTTTTTCTTTTTTTTTAGGCAGAGTACGTGAACATAGTTCAGTACACTCGGAATTGCTCAGGAGTATATCTAATCTTCCCATTGTAAATCATCGCAGGAATATGTAGTGGAGGATCTCCATGGGTGCTATACACCACCAAAGCTGGACCGAGAACATGAAGAACGTTTGAAAATGCTCAAGCTTTTGTAAGGAAGTGTGGAAGGTTCAAGAGGTAACTGAAGCTATAAAACACAAGTTACACAAGGACATAATGCAACCTTTTGTGTGAGAAGTAATTATTGAATGGGGAACAATGAAAATATTGAATGAGGAACAATGAAAAATAGCACCAGTTTGGGATTTTTCTGGCAATGAAAACCGGATGTCAATCATAGTTAAATCCTACTCACTAACTATATGAAACCTGGCAAAAATAACAGCAAATAAAAATATCCAGAGACGAATTAGTGTTGTAACAAATGATGTTTCTTCACATTGTATAGATTTCTTCCTTGTTCTTGAACGGTTGAACCTATCAATTTGTGGTCAGTAGTGGCCTTGTGGGAAAGGGAGAGCAACTGATTGCTTCAAAGGGACGAGTTGTGTGTGTTCATTTTTTTGGAAGAAGCAAGGTTTAAAAAATTGTTATGTATCAACCCGTATCGGCTGATATGTATCGTATCGGAAGCACCCCAAAAAGCCCCTACAGATGATGTATCGGGGTTTTGACTGGTTCAGGGGGTGAAAGAACCTTAAACTGGCACCCCTGATAAAAAAACAGTATCGATACTTAGAACCTTGGGAAGAAGTCGTTAATGATGTTGAGGAAGGAGAGGGTTAATTAGGAAGGTGCATTTGAAAATATTTAGAAAGGAGTAATACAGAAAAGAAATGTACAGAAAAAAAATAAAGAGAGAGAGAGAGACCTGATGGATCGATTTTTGGTGATGTATCGATTTTTTGGTTAAGTACGTCGTCATTTGGTCTGCTTCCAAGTGGTCGATGACTCAGGTCGAAGTGGAGAACTTTGGTTGTTGAGCTGAATCGAACTGGGCAGGCTAGGTGGTGAGCTGACCAGGTGGCGAGCTGCCTGTGAGGTGCCAGGCTGACCAGGTGCTGAGCTGCCTGTGAGGTGCCGGGCTGACCAGGTGCCGAGCTACCTGTGAGGTGTTGGGCTGACTAGGTGCCGAGTTGGATTGATGAGCTTTGTTGCTCTTTAGAGACCTGCAAGGAACCAAATGTCAGAGGACCCGGGGTGGCTAACCCGGCGAGGTCGCTCTGATGCTTAAATCAGTACTCTCATAGTAGACTGCGAGCTAAAAATCATAAAGTATGAGAGCTAGAATTTGTTTACTTGCTTACTTATTTTCTTGTCATTGGGGTTGGTGCCTTTATATAGGCATTGTTTGGCGTGGGCTTCACGCACCATATCCGAGATTTATGCGAGGTCGTCTAAGTGGTTCGAGATTCCCGGAGGTAACCGCCATGCACATTGACCACCCTCCGGATCGTTCGGCACGTGGGCCAACTTCCAAGGATCATGGGAGTGTTAGGATATGCATGCCGAATTTGTCGGTGAGCACATCTCGCAGGTCGCCAGCTCGGCGCCTGGGCCAGGCCACCAAGTTGGACACCATCAACTTGGCAAGTTGTTCCCTGAGTGGTTCCGGGTGTCACCTAGTTGTTCTAAGGCACCGCATGTCACAATATCATAGGAGGGCCAATTCCGCCATCATCATTTGCCCCCCACTCCCGAGCTGAAAGTAACTCGGTGAAGGGAGTAAATTTCTCTTTTTTTCCCGAATCGAATAATTCGATGAGCTCGTAAGCGTCGATTCAATTCCTTAGGCTCTGGGAGCAACTCGCAATTCGCTCATTGATTTTGCCCATGCCAAAGAGGCGACTGGGTCCTATGTGGTGAGGAGGTCTTCGCTAGTTCGGTATTTTGGCCCTTAGGCTCTGGGAGCGACTCGTAGTCCACTCTCCTTAATCTTGCCCATGCCGAAGAGGCGACTAGGTCTTATGTGGTGTTGAAGTCTTTGCCAGTTCGGCACTTTAGCCCTTAGGCTCTAGGAGCGACTCATAGTCCACTCTCCTTGATCTTTGATTTTGCCCATGCCGAAGAGGCGACTGGGTCTTATGTGGTGCTGAAGTCTTTGCTAATTCGGCACTTTAGCCCTTAGGCTCTGGGAGCGACTCATAGTCCACTCTCCTTGATCTTGCCCATGCCGAAGAGGCAATTGGGTCTTTTGTGGAGCCGAAATCTTTTATCAGCTCGCCAATTCGCGCCTGGGCCAGGTCACTAGGTCGGCGCCTAGGCCAGGCTGCCAAGCCGCGCCTGGGCCAGGCTGCCAGCTCGCGCCAGGGCTAGGTTGCGCCAAGGCCAGGTCGGCACCTTAAAGCTACGACTGCACTGCATCAGCCTCGTTAGTGACGTCGGTTACCCACTCCTACAAGAAGCTACTAGGAGCTCGACCTACAGGGGCAGCACTACTGACTTTAGGTCACCATCTCGCACGGGAGCCTTGGAAGGCTCGACCGGCAGGGGCATCCATGCAGTCTGTTGGCCGCCTACTCTTGCGAAAGCCACGAAGAGCTCATCTTTGTAGAGGGTACCTCGCGAAGAGGACTGATGAGGCTTTATCTGTATTGAAATAAAGTTAGTAGAGTTGCTTAGTTTGTTGACCATCAACTTCCTGCATAGTCTTTGAGTTCATAAAATAGGAAAACTAGAAATCGAGAGCTTTTAGTTTCTAAAAGGTGAGAACTTAGCTTTCTGGAAGAAGAGGACTTAGCCTTTTGGAGGATGAGAACTTAGATTTTTGTAGCGTTTCCCACAGACGGCGCCAATTGATGGACCGATTTTTTGTGATGTATCAATTTTTTGGCTAAGTACCTCGTCATTTGGTATGCTTCCAAGTGGCCGATGGCTCAGGCCAAAATGGAGAACTTTGGCTGCCGAGCTGAATCGAGCTGGGCAGGCTAGGTGGCGAGCTGCCTATGAGGTGTCGAGCTAACCAGGTGGCGAGCTGCCTGTGAGGTGCCGGGATGACTAGGTGCTAAGCTGCCTGTGAGGTGCCGAGCTGCCTAGGTGCTTGCCTATGAGGTGTCGGGATGCCTGTGAGGTGTCGGGCTGACCAGGTGTCGAGCTGCCTGTGAGGTGTCGGGCTGACCAGGTGCCGAGTTGGATTGATGAGCTTCGTTGCTCTTTAGAGACCTGCAAGGAACCAAATGTCAGAGGACTCGGGGTGGCTAACCCGGTGAGGTCGCTCTGATGCTTAAGTCAGTACTCTCATAGTAGACTGCGAGCTAAAAATCACAAAGTATGAGAGCTAGAATTTACTTACTTGCTTACTTTTTTTTTGCCATTGGGGTTTGTGCCTTTATATAGGCATTGTTTGGCGTGGGCATCACGCACCATATCCGAGATTTATGCGAGGTCATTTAAGTGGTTCGAGATTCTCAGAGGTAACCGCCATGCACGTTGACCAACTTCCAAGGATTGTGGGAGTGTTAAGATATGCATGCTGAATTTGTCAGTGAGCACGTCTCACAGGTCGCCAGGTCGACGCCTGTGTCAGGCCGCCAAGTCGGTGCCTGAGCCAGGCCGCCAACTCGCGCCTAGGCCAGGCCGCCAGGTTGGACACCATCAACTTGGCAAATTGTTGCCTAAGTGGTTCCGGGTGTCACCTAGTTGTTTTAAGATGCCACATGTCACGGACGGCCAAATCCGCCCTCGTCAAGACCCAAGGACATGAATAGTTTCTTTACCAAATCAACGTTCATTTACCCAAAAAAATGTTACCCAGTTCGGGATATCAAGACGCAATATGGCAATATGATGACTAGAGTGTAGAGAATCGTTTTTCTATCGATATCGTATTCCTATTGTCGAAAAACAAGAAACTAAACACAACTACCCGAGATATTTAGATGTACATACAATTTGATTCATCGCTGCATAAGGAAAAAAATGGAAAGCAAGAAAAATAAATAATGATAGATGGACCACAACCAGTGGAATGAAGCCCAGTTAAAATTAACTTTAACCGAGTTTATATCCAAATCCATCTTAAGAACTGAACGTATAAACGGAACTACTTCCATAGCTTTCTTAAAGACATGTTTTTCTCAGTCTCCTTCTTCATGACCTTGGCAACTGCCATCTCGAAATCTTCCTGTGTTACATGGATTCTCCTCTCCCTCAGTGCAAACATACCTGCTTCTGTACACACGGCCTGCAAATGAAAGTAAAATTCAAGTTCGATACACAAGTTGCAAATGCTCACTAAAGATCACCAAAAAATAAGGGTAAGAATTCAGATTATGAGACCAATTGGCAATGCAAAGCATAGTTGCAATGATGACCTTCAAAACAATGTGCATGCAGGGAGAAAACATACCTTGAGCTCTGCACCAGATGCACCATTCATCTTCTCTGCAATCTTCTTCAAATCAATACCACGCATCAAGTTCATTTTCCTTGAGTGTATTTTTAGGATATCGAAACGGGACTGAAATAATTACACAAACAAATCAAGATACAATAAATTAGCAAAAAGAACTCAGGAAATTACGACCAGACAACGAGATCTTCACAGTAAATATTCATCACTTGAATTCATCAGTGTACACTTTCTTATCTTGCACTTTTATCAATATCTACCCCTCAAGCTTTAAATTTTTCTCAAGAAAAATGTTGCCAAGGGAGGGACTTTTTTTTCAATGGTGAAGATCTGAAACTCTGTTTGTCTGCCACTTAAGCTCCTAAATCCATAGACTCTCCCCATGCATGCAGGCACACCAATGCACAGTGCACTAATTGGGTGGTAGGGATGTCGATAGGTGCTGAAATGCTGAATGCAAAAAAGAAAGCAACAGACAGGAAAATAGGCAAGAAGGTTTTTTATGCCAGGGTGTGCTTGATTCCCATTAAACAAGAGAGAGAGAGAGAGAGAGAGAGAGAGAGAGAGAGGAACCAATATTTCATGGTAAATGCAGCATATAAACCTCTTCATTAGGATTGGGGAATTCAATCTTCCTGTCAATCCTTCCAGGCCTAAGGAGGGCTTGATCCAAAATATCAATCCGATTTGTTGCCATCAAAACCTATAAAGAAGAAAAAAATTGACAAGTTAGTTGCATGGAATTGGGATTCCAATATTTGTAATGCTATCACAAACAGTGCAACCACTTTCACAACAAAGAAAATGAAGTACTTTAATTTTGTTAGAGGCTTCAAAACCATCCAGTTGATTTAGAAGCTCCAGCATTGTTCGTTGCACTTCACTGTCACCATTACCAGTCCCAGATTCCATTCGAGCAGATCCAATACTATCAATTTCATCCATAAAAATGATCGATGGAGCATGTTCTCTGTGAAATAACAGACAAAAACAATAAACACATGATAGAAGATAAATGCTAAATCAGAAAACAATTCTAATGTGACATATATATTGTAAACAAAAAATAAAGACATTTATAAATATTAGGTATATCAATACTGCTGTTTTTCATAATATGTTGGTAGTTTAGGGACAGAATAAGACAAACCTGGCCATGACAAAAAGTTCTCTAACCATCCTAGAACCTTCACCAATGTATTTCTGAACTAACTCGGAACCAGACACCCTAATAAAAGTACAATCAGTATGATGAGCCACTGCCCTTGCTAGCAGTGTCTTTCCTGTACCAGGTGGCCCATAAAGCAAGACTCCCTATTAGGGTCCAGACAGAAACAAGTCAATCACAGTTGGGAAGCAAATCAATTCTCACCAAAAAAACAAAAAAAGAGTAACTGTACAGGTCTTATTTTAGCAAAGACAAAATTACCTTTGGTTGAGCTATTCCAAGAGACTCAAATAATTCAGGATGTTTAATTGGAAGCTCAATGACCTAAAAGAAAACGAGAAAAAATGGCAAGCATGTTAGTTATATGTTATGTAACCTAATTACCTAAATACAATGACATATTATCAATGAAATTGCACCAAATAATTGAATAACAGCTCTTTCAGATTCAACAACAAGACTTGAAAGTTAAATACCAATTGCTAAGATAATAATAAAATGTTTATCATTAAAAAAAGAAAATAACAAAATAACACTGGCAAGCTGACAAACCTCCTTGATCTCCTTTATTTGCTGGTCAAGGCCACCAATCATGTCGTATGTAGAATCAGGAACCTTTTCAACTTTCATAAGGTTAACTAAGGGATCAACTTTGCTGGGCAAGATCAAGTGAAGCACGTAGCTATCATTGCGAAGAGCAACTCTAGTTGATGGCGTGATCTTTGTGATATCAATATTCTTATCAATATCTACAACATACTTCCCCTCTGGATGAACCTGAGAAATAGAGAAAGACTCATAAGCCACCAGAAATGTAAACCAGGTTCCATATATTGCGTGTCTGCCTCTGCAAATAGAACAATAACACTTAACTCTTCAGAAATGTTTCAAGCAAATATTTATTACTGATGATAAAGAGAAGAAATACGAAGTATATAAAGGACCTGGAATCTGATGTAATAACAGAAATGGAAGCTGAGGATCAAAAACAAGGAACAACAAAACAAAAATCCCAATCCATTCACAATGACATTGACAGATGTAGGGATTCACTGGAACAACCATCTAGTCTAGGCCCTCTGTATGGCCCATGAACCAGTCAAAGACCCTATGGCCTGTAAAGCAGTTGACTACATTATAGTCGTCCCCCACCAAAGTCTTCTGAAAAGAGAGAGATCCTGCCATAGAATTCAAATGTTATCAATTCTCCTACATCTTGTCGGAGTGTTTTAAAAGTGCAAGGTGCAAAAAAAGCACAAGGGCCATTTTGCACCTGAAGCGCAAGGCAAGGCATGCGCCTTTTTGAAGCAAGGTGCAAAAATGCAAAAAAAAAAAGTAAAAAATTCAAAAAAAATGCAAAATACTAAAAGTATTAAACACAACAATATTAATTAAAAATATGAACTTAAATTTTAAATTTTTTTTAAACCTATTATCTCAAATTAAAATACATAAGCATAACATGTAAAACATATTTAAAATGAAAGTTTTAAAATAAAATCAAGCTTAACATATAAAACATATTCAAGCATGTAAACTCTTAATTCTCTTTATTTTTTTCCCAATTGCATTACTTCAAATAACCAATTGATGTTAAACATTATGCATTCCTGATCCTATGAGCCGCCTTTGTACCAAGCCCCTCGAGGCAAGCCCAAACAAGTCTATATCGGGTCTTAAATTCTTAATCCCTATAAAAAAAAAGGTTTTATAACTTTAAGTGTCTTTTAAAAATATCTTTTATTAGGATGAATGAATGAAGAACATTAGCAAATATGGGGTTTTTGGAGATTCGGTATCCATCCTAATAAAAGATATTTTTAAAAGACAAAGTTATAAACCTTTTTTATAGGGATTAAGAATTTAAGACCCTGATATGGATTTGTTTGGGCTTTCCTCGAGGGGATTGGTCGGGGTCCGGGGGAGGAACCCCCAGCCCAGCTGCTAAGCATTAAAAAAAAAAAAACAGAAAAAATGCACAAATTTTCAAAAGGTGGGCACCTGGGCTGAAGCACAAAGTGCACTAGGCAAGGTGCATTATACCCTAAAATGCACCTTGCCTATGCGCCTAGGTGCGCCTTTTAAATCACCTGTCCTAAATCATTCGCATCATACTCCATAAATAATGATATCCATATTGAATGTCTACAGGAATGTCCAGAAATGTAATGAGTTCACTGTCCTCTGTTGCCCCAGACCCAGTCAATTAGAGAGAGCAGAAGGAACACCAAGGAAGGTCACCATGTATTGAACCTCCATGGCCCCAAAATGCATTATTAAAGGGAAATGTATTTCACATGGTCACCCTGCTCTCATGTATGCCAGGTTAGCATTAAAAAGCAAATACTGCTCACCAGTAAGTTTATTATGCTTCGGAATACTGAGGATTCTGTGCTCAACTTTTTTAAATTAAAAGTTTCAAGAAGTTGAACTTTGGAGTTACTGTGTTTACCGGAACCTGATTGTTAGATATTCGTATTGGAAAGGTAAACTCATAAAAGATGCATGCAATGCTTTATTTGTTTTGTTTGATGCCAATCAGTTCTATCTAGTAAACTCTCTCATGTGAATGGGTCATCAAATTAAATCATTTCCAAATTTTGGTTCTTAAACATAACTTTGTGGCATTTGGTAACATTTCTTGGATTATTTGAAGTTGGTTGGACTCCTCCACAGGGTGTTACAACCATGTTTGACCCTTAGTTTCCACCACCAACTCTGAGAGGAAAGAAACGCCAGGGTCTTTACAGAGAGCAGGATGTTCATATTAATCTCATTCCATTAACGTGGCCCACTGGGTACACACAAGAGAATGAATTCTAGGACTTTCCAATGATGATATACAAGGAGTTGGTCAATTGGTTACCTCATCTACCAGGACAAACATTCTATTTCAGTTTTAGGATCTTCCAACACAGGATCCATCAAGAAGAAATTGGATGGACTCCATGGGCAATCCTGGAACCTTAGGTCTGGGTGATGTATTCAGGAACCATGAGACAGAGGATCCTCCATCTCATTTCAAGGCCAGTGGATTGGGAAGACTCCATTAGAGTTCAGCTCCTAATCCTGTTGTGATGCATCCACATTGCCTTTGCTATGTGTTTCAATCTTTTGGAGGTGGAAGGAGATTTTCAAATTGTAGTGAGCTGGATGAAGAGGATCAAAAGATTCTTTGTTCTCTTATATTAGAGGATCTAGATGGTTAACCACCAATAGAAACATCTTAGTTGGGTTAGGAGATCATCTAATGACCTATCCAATCCATATGCTGATAGTGGTTTTGCTAGGGAGTAGAATTGGGGATCCGAACTCCCTGCTTAGGGGAGCCTAGGTTGGTTTATATGGGGAGGCTGTACAAAGCAGCTTTGGATTTTTTTCCTTTTCCTATATACAATCCCCTCCCACATACTTTGTAATTGTTTCTTGTAACAAGCATTCTTCTGATACTGTTACAAATAAAATTTTTTGATTCTTTCTTCTATACCACATTCAAATTCATGTGTGGACTATCAAATAGTGAGTCAACCAACCATGCATCCTAACAAAGTGAGTGGTTCAGCCCTAGTGATAAAATTACCACTATTTCTTCTATGAACAAACTGAAGAACTGGCCTTCATTCTTCAGAAGTTAAATTTCCTATAAATGTTGGACTTCCATTTCATTAAGCCACCAAGAAGCATCCAAAAAAAAAAAAAAAAAAAAAAAAAAATACTCGTTGCCTCACAAGCAAGCATGGAAAAGTAAAGATGCAGAATCCAAACTAAAATCTCATAACCATTAAAGGAACAATGCTGATGTGCAGAAAAATAATATGAAATTATCCTATAAAAAGAAATACCAGACAAGAGGATTCCAACACCTAATGGAATGCTGCAACATCAAATTACTCCATCTATTGCAGAAAAACATGAGAAAGTTACATTTACAACACATCGGAGATTTAAAAAGGGATTATATTTTTTCTGCAAAACGAAAAGAGGAAGGGAGAAAACATTGACTGACCTTCACTAAGACCTTTGATTTACCCATAACTTTCACCACTTCTCCTACATACGATCCAGGCTCTTGAAGCAGTTGTAATTCCTCTCTAAGCATCCTCACTTCCAATAACAAACCCACGTAATGTTACCAACCAACATAGAAAAAATAAAAAAGAATAAAACTCCACCATATTATAACAGAAACCTATAATCTTAATCCTAGTTCTACTAAGATAACACAAAAGGCAATGGAATGGCCTGGTTAAACAATGATTCATGCGATGCAGTTAACAAAAACCAATCTTCCAGTTCAAAAGTTCATCTAAATATGTGCCCTTATAACCTTCTCCTTCATTCATGTAGGAGGGCTAAAACCTGACAAACGAAATAAATATTCTTCAGCCATCTAGCTAGAAATTACAGTACGATAGCCAGTTCTTCCTCGATTTGCAAGAAAAAATAAGGAAATTTGAAAAATTGAAATTTCATTTTGATCGGTAAATTGAGAAAATTAAGTGCCACGTACAGGAGAATCCCTTTTCCACAAACCCTAACTAAGAAATCGAACAAGAATAAACGAAACAATCTCCAACAATGCCATCAAAGAAATAGGAACATTAAAAAAATTAAAACCTAGGGTTAGGGTCGGAAATTCAGATACCTCTTGAATTGAGATCATTCCGCTGAGCTTCAAGGCGATTGAGATTGTGAGTCTTCTGCCGGACCTGAAGCTGAAGATCATGAATGTGCTGAAGATAATACTGTCTAAGACCTTCTCCCTGCTTCATCGTCTTCGAAGAGCACATATCATCTGATGTCGCTGTGGCTGCTAGGTTTGTGTCTACCGCTGCCGTCGCCATTTCCCTTCTGAGTCTGAGATTCAGGCTTTCCTTGGGAATCAAGTCAAGTCGCTTCAATGATGATTGATGATTGATCAATGATCCCGAACGATCCGGCGTTTTTGCTCTTCCTAACCGCGGCTTTTATTGCGGGAGTGTGGTGTGACTGTGACGAGTGCCGAACTACTAAATACCCGGGTTTCAACTTTCAAACGGTAGACGGGTTTTTAACGTCCGTACATTGTTCGATTGCACTTGCTGGTTGTTGCATAATCAACCGGGTCATGTTCGAACCCGACTAAAATCATCCGTGGTCCGGACCACCGATCCACTGTGCCCACGTTAGGGGTGCACCTTGGTCAGGCCCTACCCGATACCGAACCAACCTACCCCTCAATTTTACATGGGATGGGGTCGGGTCTTAACCGAAAAGCTTAGGCTTTTTAATTATTTGGGCTGAGCTCGAGATAGTCCAAGCCCAGTCTAATCTTAGCCCAATTATATATAGGTATATATGTGTATATTTTTTTAATAAATTATATAAACATGTATACGTATAATATATATTAGATATGTATGCATATGCATATCAATATTTAGTATATGATGATTGACCAACCTAAACCTGGTCTAGGCCTAATCTGAATGCGTCAAATTTTAGCTAGGATTGGGCTTGATTAAAATGGTTTGGATTTGACCTCGTGTTCATGTTTTAAGCACAAATTTTAGAGCTGGGCCTATGGTTGAGCTAAAACGTGGCAAAGCATGCTCTGATTTGCACCCCTAACTCATGTTAATGGACTATCAATGGATAAATTTACGATGTCGTATAGATATGATATAGAAGAGCTTTGACTAATCAAAATGAGAGTCCCGATCTATTGCCTACAGTGCAGGCGTAGGTTGAGGATATCTCCAATACGTATTATGTTAAATTGGTCGGGGAGATGTTAGGAGTGATTCCCATGAAACTAGATCCTGATCTCAATTATTTTCAACCAAAAAAAACATATTTCTTGTGAATTGTTGGTTTTCTGCACATCACAACAAAATATACATTCTTTGCAGCGTGTTTGAATAAAAAAAAAAAAATCCATCATTCTTCAATGTAGACCACTGGTTTAGTATCACATCAAATATGCATTCTTTTAAGAGCATGCTTTTCTGTAATTCTTGTAGGAGATATAAGTAGTAAAGGGAGAATGTAATTTATTGTTTTTATGCCTTCTGAACATAGAATGTGCGAAACACTATGGTTTGATGTGCAAAACGACAATGTGAAGAATGACATTGGTATATAAGCGCTTTTATAGTCGACTATAAACTATGAAATAGCAAACTGGAATTTGTAGATAATGTGAAACCGGTTGAATCATGCCATTTAGTCGTTTTCCTTCAAAATCGCATTTATCGGCTATAATGCAATCAGTTTTCAAGATGAAACGGGCTCTTAATAGACGTGCACTCCTTTGAAAGAATGTTCAAATTTGACTGACAAAAAAAAAATAACAGGATTATAATAATAGTAATATCATATGTATCACCAGGCTGAATAACTCTCAATTTATAAAAAGTTTTCAATCACCTGAATGAACGGCGGATAAGTGCCCCCAACAGGCATTTGGAAGAATTCAATAAATATTTATTTAATATATATGAAAAAAAATTAATTATTTATATTTCAAATTCAAGTGGCTTACAACTCAGACCACCACAATACAAAACATTAGCAATGATGTAATGACTTATAATTTCAAATATATCACACTGGACTCAATAGCTTGGAACACACCACAGTTCTTTAAGTTGTTATCGTCACAATACTCCAGTTAAGATTAATGCCAAAAAATCACTCAACTTAGAATCATTCATGTTGGAGTCTTGTTGAATCGGCAAAAACCTAAAAAGGCTGGCACTTGCAAAAGTTGCCATTGCGTTGCATGTCCATTACATTGCTTTTGCTAACTAAAGTCTTGAAGGAGGTAAATCCATAAAGGTATATGGGGAGGTTGGGTAGATGCATATAAATAAAACACCGAGGAAAAGCTTGATCAATTGTGTGTTTTAGTAATGATCTTCTATGTCATGATCGAGCTTGTTTAGTTGTTACGTCCAAATCAGCCAATGGGACTGGAAAAACCATGCATGAACCAGTCCATTGGTAGGCTCGGTCATATCCAAAAAAATTGGAAGCCATAAAAAATTGAACAATTGGCTGATCCAACTAAAGAACCGGTGAATCGGTGATGATCCAAGCTTCATAAAACAGTCCAGTTTTTTCAATTTTTGACAACTTACATGCAAAATTTTATATTTTTCGTGATCTATCTTGTCCCACTATTTTTGTCAAATAATATCTTTTTGGACCTCAAATCTTAATTCTTAGTAAAAAAAATTTAAAACTAAAATAAAAGTATATATTATGTGTAAAATATAATTATATATTTTCAATATGTATATAATTATACATGGTATACATTAATAATTGTATATTAATATAATTTAATATATTATAATTGTGGTGTAATGTGTGTAGGTTGAACAGTTCAATCCCCGGCCAATTGAACCAGTGACACAATGTCCTAGAGGGAGCAACACAATAGTTTTACTTGCGGTTCTATAAACACTGGTTAATACAACTCATGCAGTTTGGACGATTTTGTAGCAACAGTACACCGTCACGGCCCATGGGGCTCTAGAACTTGATGCAAACAAGTGTACAAGATGATGCTTATTGAAGAATGAAGATCGGAGCCATACAACCTTCAACTGTCTTAAAACGGAATATCCATCCTTCAATTATTAAGACCACAAAATTCTCATCTTGGTGATGCCTTTTCATTTTCGGGGAGGGGGTGATGAAATATTTAGCTTCAGTTTGTTGCGCAATTGCGCAAATATCAATACCTTGAGGGAAAGTTCTCAGCAAATTTTATGAAATTCATCAACCTCCCCTCGAGCCCCAAATTTCTGTTTCTTTTCATCTCTATCAAAGGAAAAAAAGAACTTTCGGTTTCTCATATTTACCATGAAACCAAATGTAGATGGAGCATTTAAAGATTTTGAAAACAAGTGCAGATTTTAGAAAAGACCCTTAAGAATTTGAAGGTTTTGGCAGAACAGCAGGATAATCACAATACAAATCTTGCAGAAGAGAAAAGGCCCTGTTATTGACCGAATAGGATATGCCGCATGCGTAAACCACCCTATATATATATATATATAAAAAAAAAAACAGATTTTGTAATGCTGAGAATGCATGCTAGAAAAGTTGGCCCTTGAAATGGCGAGGAGCCCCATCAATTACTATCATCCTCCTAACGAAAAATGAAAACCGAGATGAAGAAACTAAGGCTGTGTTTGGAAACTATACAAATTAGTGAATGTAAATATGTAGAGTGTAAAATGGTTCATATAAATTGTAAAATTGGGTTAGTTTTTCACTGACAATTTTACCTTCTTATCAAATAGACTTTTAGCTGTAATGGATGCAAACATGAATTTCAATAAAGCATATGCTTTTTTCTATCAAAAGCCAACTTGAATGCAAATTTACTTCATGTAAATATGCATTGGTCTGTCATTTATCAATTGCATAAATGTAATATTACCAAACACAGGCAAAAGTGAACCAGAGTGCAAATTTACCCTGAACTGGGATTTACACTCCATTTGCATCATTTCCAAACGCAGCCTAAGTCTACACTGCATGAAGCATTCATCAGATCAAAAAAAAAAACAAAGTGTACAGAAAAAATGTTTTCATTCATTATTTAAAAGAAAAAAGACGGGTATCGTAGGTCAGCAAAAGCTAATCCATATATCCTTACAAACAACCTATCAGGAGAGGACGCTAGAAAGCAATATCAGGCATCATTTCGTTCTTTGTTTTCTTCAGACTTCCCATCCTTGGCAATGTGGAAGCCCTCAATCTTCTGTGCAACCTCATCTGCTGTTACCTTCACTTTTCCTGTTGGCCCATTTGCTCCAACTGTATCAATCTCATCGTGACAAGCAGGACCTGTTTGCCATATCCTAATGGTTCCATCTTCAGACCCCGATGCATAGGACTCACCTCCAGGTGCAAAGCGCACACAATGGACTGGTCCGTGATGACCCTTGTTGCATCCTGCATCCAATATCAAAGGTTATACCACCATGCCTAAATTAAACCAAAAAAGTGAGGGGAGTTGCAATTCTTTCGTGTCAAAGCGAAGACTTGAATATTTGGGTGACCAAAGCCATAAATCAGGAACGAAATGTTATTCTTTTAGCTTGTAAAATAAACATCTGTAATGTAGCAATGTCCAAATAAGAAAAATGCTAGCTTGACTTGGTTGAATTAAGTGTAGCCATAAATCTGTGACTTTAAAATCATGTTCCATTCATTTAAAAAAAAAATCCTATTAGCAAAAATTGCAAGTTTAAAAACACTTACCAATCTCTTTACCGGTATGAAAATCGAAGACATGTATCCACATGTCTTCACCACCAGCAATGAATTTGTTGCCAAGCTTAGGCTCCAGTGATGCTGATTCGACAGTGCATGGCATGTTATAACTTTTCACCAATGCAAAACTGTAGGCAAGCAAGCAAATTTTTCTTGTAAAACTATGCAAGTTGATAAACCAAACCAAGCAAGGACTTTCAGGCAATCCAAACTGGAACTTACTGATTAGCATCCCAAAACCTAACAGTAGATCCATCTGCAGTTGTGATGTACCGGCCATCCTGGCTCACTTCTGCACTAGTCACAGGGGACTTGGTCTCAAGCGTTTGGATAATTTGGCCACTCCGCAAATCCCATAATCTGTAAAGTCAACAAGAAGATTAGGATAGGTAAAAGTATAAAAAACCACTCCATACAAATGCAAGGCCCATAGTTGTACGGTTTTTTCTAGTTCACCTCATTCTGGTTCGGGTTCGCAATTCATATTTTCTTAGCTCTACCAAAAGAAATATTTGATTATTTTCTTAGCTATCCAATGAACCCAAATAGATGAGTAGACTTTTTTTAATTTCTATCATACTGCTAGCATATGAAAGACAATAATATAGGTGTCGTAAATAATGCAAATTTGCTAGCGTAGTGTTAGTATTTTATATGGTATGGCAACGATACCATAGAAGATTGTGGATTCCAAGTTTGCAGAACAATTAATGCAGGCAGAAGATTGAAAAATCTGGCTGCACATTCCATGTTTGCCAAAAAAAAAAAAAAAGGAAACCACAGTGAAAGCATGCAGCATATCCCATTGACAAAGTCTCAGACCTTTTAGAGGAAATCCTTAAGAGTGATTTTTCCTTCTAACCTCATCCAACTCGTAAATCCAAATCCAAACAGGGGACAGACTGGATATGGACCTAACCCTAGGCATTAATTTTAAACAGTGTCACACTCTCTAGGGATGCAACTTGGACAGGCTTAGGTTGAGAATTTGTCAAAATTTGAAAGGGGCCCAATGCAGTGTAAATTCTTCAAATTGGGTAGCAAACTTGCTTCTTTACCTCTCAGGCTTGAACTTGTGTTCTCACACTTGTCAGCCTGAGATTCCATTTCACCAAGCAATTTCCCCCCAAAGTAAATGCATGTACTAAACAGATAATTACCAATGAGGTATCAAAGAAATTAAAACTAAAAGGATATTATTGGCCTTAAATCACAAGTGGGTGATACTTAAAAAGACCCCTTTGTCCAAATGCATGAGGTTAGGAGGTGTTCTGCTCTGCCTCTACCCTGTCACCATTCTAAAAATAATATCAGAATACGAATGTACCAATACACAGATTATTACAAACATAAACATCTGTCATTTCAAAGTCCAAACTATTTAGTAAATTTTATTTACTTATATTTTGGGAACTTTATCTATTCATTTTGATTGGAAACTAAAAGAATAACTAATTGCTGAGGCTCAAAGTATTGATATGGTTAAAAGTATCAGAAAATCAGTTCTCCGTGCTAGTAAAATTAAGACATAGATGGATGCCTTTAGGAAAGAAATGCAAACCTCACACTTAAATAGAGGATAGTAGGATACTAACTTAATGTTTATATTATAACGAATACAGTGTAGAAATGTCTAAGAAATCAATTTACTTGTATTTAAGAGCTGCTATGGGCCTAATTGTCAAGGCACTGATACAAGGGTCATTTTGCTTTTTAAATTTGTTTTCCACGTCTATCTCCACTAAATTTAAAACTCTATATATAATACAGGCGATTGCGATGTAATGATCTAGTATTATTGAAACTGGCTGCTATCCTCTCCTCTTGGATAGGGCAGGGAAAAAAAGGAATCTTGAAATAAATGGCCCAAGTCTGACTAAGGTTACAAGTAAATGCCAGTATTTTCAACCCACAGTTGAATGGGACAGTTAGACTGGTTGACCAGCCAGCCAGCCATATTTCTGGGGTTTTTTCACCCTGAACTACTCACCTGCACAAAACTGTTGACTCAGTTAACAACCCGGTGATCCAGTCAGATGAGCCATTGGACCACTTCACCCAGTCAGCAGTTAACATGTCAAAAATTAATTCTGTTTTTCTTTTTTGTATTTTAGCCACTTCCATCATTATAACAGTAATTCCCATTCATCACACATTTTTGTTTAATATTATGACAATATATAATATTAGAAACATGCCCATTTTTCTGTAATTTTCTTTTTTTATCAGAAATTTTTCTGTAATTTTCGTTTTCTGTATTTTTTATTTATTTTTATATTTTTGTTAATAAATTATGATGTCATAATAGGTTGACCCATTTGACCCGGATAGTTGAACCGATGACCCGCCACCCAGACAAAGAAGTGGTTTTTTTTCCAGGTCAGGTTTAAAAACATTGGATCATTTTAACACATGACCTATAATAGGTCAGTGAGGGCGAAAACAATTTATGCAATCAAAAGAAACAACTATTATTCAAAATAACCAAAATCTTCTCTTTAGGACTACTACCACTATATTTATAGACAAGAAAATTTTTCCTGTTTAAGCTCTGACTACAACTCTTTCCAATACTAAAAGACACTAAAGTTGCCTCTCTAGTAGCCTAACTTATATGAAAATATATGGTAAATCTATGCCAAAATTTGTATTGAATATTCTCCTAGCAACCAAGTCATTCAAATATGTCATGTTGGGTTGCTGTGAAGGACAATAAACAGTTTCTCTTGCATACAAGTTGTCCTTCAAGAGAATCAGGTCATTTGGGTGTGGACCCATGTAAGCCCAATAACAAGCCCACAGGAGGCCCAAATAAAGGCCCAGCTTAAGACCATAATTAGGCCTAACAGATGGCCCAATCCACAGGCCCATGTAGAGAAAACAGACTGGATAACCACTCGTTTTGAGGTTTCCTACATCATTTTGTGGATAATATAAAGTACAATTCTTTGATAGCAGCATACTCCCAAGTCAAAACTTACTTCCATGATTAACTTTCAAGTTTCAACTAAGCCTAAAGCTATGTTCAACTGTCCAAGTTCTCTATGAACTCTCACATATTAAGGCTTATATGTCCTGCACGTTCATAGAAGTAGTGTTAACCAAGTAACATCCACATTGTGTATTCTTAACCATTTCCAGTTTCACGCTCACAGCTTCAAGAAATTATATTTGAATATGTCACCAGTAGATCAAACACAATCCAAGAATCAAATTAGCAGGTCCTTGCACATGAACTCCAATTCAACCAAATCAATTACCATGTTTGACAAGTATCATGTCAACTTCTAGAATCCAACAACGAATTTAATACAACCATAAATATGGCACTGCAATTATCTTCTCAAGAACTTAAAGTTTATACGTGTTTCAAAAAAAAAAAATCTTTATGTCATTTCTTAAAAATTGCTCCATAAATAATTATACTATGTTCTGCAGATAACAAAAGTGTCAAATAAGAATGCTAACAACACCAATGTGGTATAACATATGTATACCTTACACCCCCCATATCAGTACAGGAACTTAGTATTGTCTGATCACTATGAAGCCAAGCTACTGTTCTGATTGAACCAGGAGATTTATCAACTTCTCTGGGTGGTGCATCTGGACGATTCAAATCAAAAATCCGAAGGATCTTTTCAAGGCCCCCAGTGAGCAGCAGGTGTGTATCCTGTATGAATATTAGCAAACTTAATATAAGAAGCACATATACAACTAAAGAGAATTAAAAGATGTGCATCCCATTAATAGATTACAACAAACTTTCCTCTTCAAAAGTAACAAGAAAACTTCCATTTTTTATAAGAAAAAACTTCCAAAATTCCATCCATTGTACCCAGCCTATAGCTACTAAAACTAGCCAGCGGATTGACACATAGGTCCCAGGTGCAGGCTCTAGTTCTACATATCATCTAGCAGGTTGGCAAGGGTCTTCCCAGGTTAAACATATGCTACATGCTCCAAATTTTACTTTAGTATGCAAGGGATCACATATTGTCTTGTACTTCCTGGATCAGCCTGCCAGTCTGTGTAATCTAACTATCTTCCTAACTGATAACTTTTTATGATCTTAAAACTTTTCCTAGTTCAATAACAAAGCGAATATTCTATAAATGATGTACCAGGATATCATACAATATAAGAGAAAACATATTTCCCAGTATACCTAAAACTATTATCATAAATCAACAAAGGGACTTTGTGCAATATATTAATCCAGCACAAACTTGAATACTTTATGTCACTTCATACCATTGAAGGTAAGTAGAATGTCTAAACAGATATATGTCAGAAGGCACATGTATACACCTTACAATCTAATCTGTAAATGCAAGAGGCATTAATTCATCAGATATTACGTGTACAGTGTAGTGGAAAGTGGCAGTTGAGTATTAGGTGCAAGTCCACAGCAAGAAGCTATTGATGTATGCTCATCCAATTAGAACATTTTTTTGATGAATCTCATCCATTAGAACATAATATTCAGATTACATCTCAGAAATAGTAAGCAACTTCAGCAAAATCTGAGTAAAAAAAGATGTAGACTTGTACACATCTAAACTTGAAAAGAGAAGAAAAAGGTAGACACATATACAAAGCCAAAGATGTAATACAATCTTAAAACGAACAAAATACTTACAGGACTCTACTACAAGGAAGCAACCACAATATACATACATATATATATATATATATGACAGAAGCTGAATCAACTATGTACAAAAGCAATATATTTTGGAATAAAAAAAAATGTTTCCAATTACGGAATTACCTCAGAGAATGCACAGGCACGAACAATGTGTTTATGCTCAAATGAGTGCAATTCATCCCCTGTTAGTGCATCCCATATTTTACTGCAAAAAGGAGAATGAGGATAATCACTTAATTTTTTGAGGCACTAAACAGCATGCTCAGTTACTTATCCAGAAAAAAGTGTGCTCAATTAAACAATACTGCAACAAATACAGAAGCATATCTGCAGTAAATAATGTTGCCAGCATTAAATAACAAAGTGCAAATTAAAAAACAAAAAGGCACATTTACAAGAAAACAAAAACATTAAATTGAAACAAATTAAGTCTCACCAATAAACAACAACCAGCTATAACCTGTTTTTTCCTCAAAAGTTTACTACAGAAAATTGAATTTCCAACAAACTTATTAGAAACAAGGAATTTGCATTCAATTCTTAATGTATAAATACCCGGTGCATACCATTTACTAGAGAGGCCTTACAAAATAGACTACAAAATTCCGGTGACCTAGTAAGGTTCCAATCGGGCTTCAAAAAGCAACAAATGTATACCTACGTAAACTAGGATAAATCTGAGCTCTTTTCAAATATTTTTTCCTCAATTCAGTCAAAAGTTGACACTTGGAAAGGAGCATTACTGTCTCCAGCAGGTAAAGAAGTGCTTATTAAAGTATTTGCATCAGTTGCTCCCATCTACTCTATAATGCACTTCTGTTTGCCTAATGATTTCTACAGAAAGCTGAACAGCACTATGGCAAATTTTCTTTGGGGTCAAAAAATGATGAGTAGAGAATTCACAAGGTAGCTTAGAAAGATTTATGCCAAGCAAAAGACAGAGGAGGTATGGGCTTCAGAAATTTTCAATGTTTTAATAAAGCTCTTTTAACAAAGGCCACCTGGAATTTATTAAAAAAATCAGGACGCCTTGTGGAAAAGGTTCTTAAAAATGTTTATTTCCCCCGAGCTTCCTTTTTAGAAGCTTCGAACTTTGCTCCCTATAAAATCCAATCTGAAAGGCCTACATACTCTTAGTTTTCAAAGGTTGATGTCTATATAAATCAGACCACAAAGTCCTGGAAAGTGGATGTCCTCAGAGGCCTTTTTACTGCTGAAGAAGTAAACGCTATCCTTCAAGTTCCGTTAAGTTGGACCCAAATTCAAGATGAAATAGCTTGGGGTAAATCAAAAAGTGGCTGCTTTTCAGTTAAATCCGCTTACTATTTAGCTCTTCAAGAATCCATGGAAGTAAATCCCTCAGTTCAGGTGAGTTGCAAAAATATTTGGAACTTGAAGACCCCACCGAAGATTCAATTTTTTATATGGAAATGTCTAAGAGAAGCAGTTCCAACGTTGTCTTCTCTTAAGAAGCATCATTTACTGGAAGGTCATGCTTGTCCAAGATGTGGTAACCCATCAAGAAATTCTTTGGCATATGTTGGTTCGATGCCATTTTGTGCGAGATGTGTGGTTTGGCCTAAAATATCTCTGTTCAAGGCATGCAAGAATTTTGAGGATGTTCATCCTCCATATATGATGTAATGCAAAAAACTTTTATGACCTTCATGGGAACCAAGGCAAGTATCCACTTTATAGATAGAGAGAGATCTGATTACAATTTCAGGACATTGTGGGTTAGCTGATAGCCTGATACCTGATATATCAAGTGCCTTTTTTGTGGTTGGGGGGGCAGAAAGACTAATAAAAAAGGAATAAGATTTTAAGGACTGAAAAACAACAAAGGGGACCAGCAGAAAACAAATGACAGAGGGGGAAACAAGAAGAGAAATACATCCTAAAAGAAAAGCGGGCAAAAACATACAACATATTAGTAATTACAATCATCAATAAGTAAAAATGAGTACACAATATGTTGGAACAAAATTCCTGTAATAAGTGTAACAGACAACCCCCTGCTATACTAAAGCAAAAAAATAAAAAACAGTGCAGGCCCTTGTTAGAAGGATGAGTTAACATACTAGTATCCATATCAACATAATAAACTTCAAAAAGAAAGAAATTAAGTCTTCATACGCAGTAAAATCAGCTGAGCCAGATGCAGCACGTAAAGCATTAGTATCAAGGCAGCAACTCCAAACTGCACCCTTATGCCCTTCAAAAGTCCCGATCCAATCCCCAGTCTCCCCATTTCTAAGCATGGGACTTGAATCTGGTCGTTAACAAAGTGTTACTATATCACCAAAAGAATATTTGACAAGAAGGAAAAAATATATATTGGACAAAGATACTAAAGGATGCTCCAAATCAAAACATTGTCAAAACTCTCCGCATGAGAAAATACTAATCAATATGCCTAGATTTTTTTTTTAATATGCCTAGATATTGCCTGTGCATAAAATATCCAAAACTTGGATATGAGAATAAGAAATGTATGACATGTACAAACATTACAAAGACCAAACAACTAATTAAGCTTTTTTTATTAGGTGTTGTTTATTATGAATGAGCAAAGAAGCCAAAACTGGAACTCTAAATTTTGCATCTACTTTTGTATTTTTTAACAATAGGGGTACTTTGATAATTTTACTTGTTTGTAGGTCCAGCTAAGTAGTTTGATTTGCCTCATCATGGTTTGGTCATAATGGCAATTCTGTAATTTCTGTCTTTCCTGGTTGTATAAGGATTGGCCACCCCTATAGTGTATGTGTGTGTAAAGTGCAAAAATGTGGAAAACAAACAGAATTGAGTGTATTTGAATTTTCGTAGCTTATGAAAAGTGCATTGAGTGATTTTTACACCGTAGAGTGATTTAGACACCCCCATAAAGTGATTCCAAGTTTTCTCACATCTTCCTCTCCCCATTTAACAAGCAGTCATCACAACCATCAATGGCCATAAGTTCCTCATCAAAAAAGTATTCATTCAACATTGCCAAATAACTGAAATTAATTGATCCAGGAAATTTTCTTTTATTTTTCATTAAAATCTAAAAATTTACCATTCCAACAGTTTTTTTTTCCTTTTGTGTCAAACCATCTCCTATGTGCTCCCCTTTTTGGATGCCCCCCCTAGATTTTTCTCACATTTCACCCCACCACATCTCATCTAAAAATTTCACTTAGAACCCCAGAGTCAATGCTTTCCGAGTTTCCTTCACAAACCAGAATTTTCATCCTTTTGTGCAAGACATGCTACAAACCTTACCAAAACCTGGCCGCCCTCCACAACTATTTGTGCAAAACTTACCAAGTTTCACTGAAAAATTCAAATCCTAGACCTATTCCCTCATTTTGAAGTTTTTCACTATTTTGGGACAAACCTACAATTTCTTGCAGTAAGCCCCAAGAAGCTTCCAAACTTAACAGACCTCTTCCTTTGGTTCTAAACTATCTCTAAACCCTTCTTAGTCCATATTTACCCTCCTAATCGCATCCTTGGGTCAATTCCAAACCTACATCAATTGGTAATGGAGCAGGATGTACCTATCAGTTTTTCAAATCAAATATCCTAAACAAAAAAGACAAAATAGAAACACTGAATAATAATAAATGAAGTGCAATCAAAGTGAAAAGGGCAACATGTAAATCAAGTTCCAATATGAACAAAACCCAGAGAATTACAATAAATGATGAATTCTAAAAGTACTGTGTTTTGAAGCAGTCACCAGACTTCAAAACGAACTCTGAAACCTTAATGTCAGAGCAAATTTCAGTGTCGGGAATGTTCAGTAATAAACTGTTAATGAGGGTGATTTTTGAGCTTTTGAACCCAGGTTGATGCTATAAACAACATGCGACCATGCTCTTTACCAAGTAAGCAGGATGGAATCAAGTAAATCTTAACAAATGCAAAACAGCAGATGTTATTTGCAAGTGTGTCTGATACTACCAGATAGTTTCCATTTTACTAGTGTCTAAGAAAATCTGTCCATCACATCCATCAGAATAGAATCTTTTCTGGCAATATCAAAAATAGCCCGTCACAATACGATTTGCCGTTCAAAATATTTTGAAAGAATCCCGTAGCAATTGCATCAGGACTTTAATGTTAATATCAGCAACTAAAAATGTGAGATGCCAAAAAGATCGCAGAAGTATATCTAAACAAATAAAAGATATACTATCGAAGCCGTCTAAAAGGTTAAAAAAACGTTTACCTTTGCTGGCACTGATGAGGAAAAACCCATCAGGAGTAAGAGGACTGTAGAACAGGTCGACGACAGGCCGCGAGTGGCCATGACAAACGAGAGGAACGGCCACCTTTTTCTTATCCATCCCTGACAAATTCAAGAACTATAACACCCTAGCAGAAAAAAAGGGGGGAAAACCTCTCAAGCAAAATGTGGAAACGACAAGGAAAACCCTAAATTCTTGATTAGAAATGCGCCAATTCAAGAACTCAAAACTCTAGCCCAACGATTCGAGAATTCCAACGATCCACAAGAAAAGATACAAGTATAACCGATTCCCTTGAAGAAACTATATCTGTAAACCGAGAAGCAAAAGACGTTTCTGGAGACGGAGGAAACTAAGGTCGGAGTGATTGTCAGAGAGAACAATCAAAGATATATAGGAGAAAAATTTAATCTTTTATACAGAAAACATCACAAATGGCGGCATTTATCACACAGGTGGGAAACGCAGCAAACGCTTCCGATACGAATAATGATTAATCTTCTTACTTTGCTGGAATCCGCACCCCACTAACCCCTCTGTCAAGAAACTCGATTTTATTGAAATTAAAGAGAAAAAAAGAAAGAAAAAAACGAAAAACAAACGAAAATTTACAAAAACTCTGAAAGGGCTAGGCGCAAGTGAAACGCATGAAGCCCCTTCGTTCATATAGATTGACTATTCAAGGTTTTTTTTCCTTTTTTTTTCATTTTGTTTTATCGTACATATGTCCATTGGTTGTCAAGTGAAATTCAGGGGTCCAATGGACAACCAAAATAATGGCCCATATTTTGAGATCGAGCCCACTGGACCTCACGAAATTCCCATATAGATTTGTTTATATCCCAAATCACACTTAATCCTAAAAAACCTTACATCTAGATTTTTAAATGGGACGATGGGTCTCTCTCTCTCTGATCAACTTTTTTTTATAATCTCTCTTTAATCAACTTGAATCCTAACATATTGGATTAAGTAATACTCAAATTTGATCCAATTAATAAATGGAACATGTTTCCAAATCCAACCCAATTTGGTCATGATTAAACAAATATATGAATTAGGTTCAAATTTAATCCCATCCATTTGCAGCCTAGGATCCTAGCCCTTATTTATCACACCAGTCACCAATAGTATATCATTAGTGCAAATAACCCTGATTCATCAAAGTCATTTTGTTTTGGTCTTCAAGTAGGAGAAACATACCTTTTAACCATGAAGTGAATGGAGAGGCTACAAATATAGTAGTGGCCCAGTACTTCTTTGGCAATATCTATGGTGTCAAAGCTTGTTTCCTTCAAAGGCCATGTGCAAATAAGTTGGGGATTGATTCATGAACAACCATGCCTATAGGTGCATCCATAAGGACTCATACATGACAGTTTTGCTTTGCTACAGAAAAATAAATAAATAAAAATAAAAATAAAGAGGTGTTTTCATGGTGAACACATGTTTGTGTGGGCAAACCATGGATATCAAAAGGAAATTAAAGCCCATACCTAATTATCTCTATCAATAAAAAAAAGCCCATACCTAACCTAGCTGGGCCACAATTATACATACATATCCATATCTTCTATCATAAAAGATAGTCTTACTCTCCTTGCTGCATACCCAAAAACAAAAACGCTCTTTGCTTTTGCTCTTTGATCAATGATAAAAATTCTCTTTTCCATATTTACCCATATCATTTTGTTAATCTATATCTATACTATATATAAAAGTGTGAATGTAGTGCGAAACTTTTTAAGACTAAAATTACTCTCTATTTCTTTCTTTTAAAAAGGTATAAAAATCATTTTATTATAGCCTTAATGTCACCTTAAATGGTTACTATAATGGCCATATTTGTGTATTTAATCCATCTCTAATTCTAAGGGTTGAAAATGTAACTTCAATTATTACTTTCTACCTTATTTAACCCCCTCTCATTAAGTCTCATACCTAAAAGTATTAACTCCCATTTTATCTTATTAAATCTTATATTTAAGTTATTTTTCACCAACAAATGGTACTAATTAGATCTATGCCAATATTTTTTAACAATATAAGCTCATGTACTTTAAAACTAGCTTAACAACAAAAACATTATTTATCCAAGTGATGGATAAGCAAATCAATCATTCGAATCAAATTGATAAACCTATGAAGTCATAATTAGGTATTAAAATTTTTAAAATAAAAATAAACATAGAAAATTACAAAAAATGTAGAAAAAATTAGACACATTTATGATACTTTTATTAATCAAATTAAAAATATATATAATAAAAATAATTATTCTTATTGATAATGAAAATGAAATGCATGTTTTATAACCGACCAAACATGAAATTCTTTTACTATTTGGCAAAGATCATCAGTTCAACTTTTGGGTCAAATGCATCAACATTTAATGTCATAAGTAAATAATCAAAATTAGTAAAATATAAAAATTAAAAAATTAAAAAAAAAACACATAAATGTTGCAAAAAAAACATTCAGGCACATGTATAAAATTAATTAATTATCATATTAAACAAAAAAAAAAAGTAAGTGTGACATATCGAAAATATTTTTACACAAAAATATAAATATATAGAAAAAATGATCACATCTATAATTCTATATTTACACTGTTATTAAAAATATAAATAAGATTGTGAAACTTTCTTTTGACTAAAATACTCATTTTTGGATTCAGTATCTATTTAATTGTGAGGTTTAAATTGTAAATTGAACTACTAAAAAGAAAAAATCTTATAAAAAGAATAATCTAACCAAGTAGGTAGACCTATCAATGATACTTGAAGCTTCACAATTCGATCCGATTATCACATATTTATATGAGGGGTTTATGTAATCATATTTCTATTTTGCAATATAAATCTGATTAATAATAAAAGCAAAAATCATATAAAACAAAAAAGTAAAAATATATTTATAGAATTTTTTGGATATATTATTACTATCATTATCATCGTCTAAAACTACCACGTGCAAAGCACGTACATACTTACTAATACTTACATATGACTCAATCCTTAATATTCTATAGCTCTTACTCTCTTGTTTTTGCTATAAGAGGTGGGGTCATCACCACAAACCTCGAATACATTACTTTTCTCTCTCTCTCTCTCTCTCTCTCTCTCCCAAAGAATAGAAACGAAAGACTGTTTTGGTGAGGTTGAACCATCACAACCACTACCACTACTGTCCTCATTCTCTTTGATTTTGCTCTTGTATATCTTTTCTAATATTTACCCTGTCATTTTGTTAATTCTTACATATGACCCATCTACTATAGTTCTTGCCCCTCTTTTGCTTGTAGTGTAAAAGGTGGGATCACTACCACAAACCTTAAAGGCTCAAACCCACTACTTCTACGCCTCTCTCTCTCTCTCTCTCTTTGAATAGAACTAAAGATTGTGTTGGTGAGGCTGAACCATCGCTATTGCTACCACTACCATTGTCACTTTTTTATGCCAAAAACACGCAACCCGTCTCCGATAGACTCACTAATACCACATCCAAAACAAACTCATTGTTGTTTATGGTTTTCATGATACTAGTAAATTTGCACGTGTTGTATATTTCTATGTGTATAAAATAATTATATATTAGAGATGTCCCAAATGTTTTCTACAAACATTTTGTGTTTTTTTTTGTGTTCTTATCTTTCTTTGATTTTTATTATTTGGGGCTCGTTTGGTGCATCTCTTTGGGAAGATCTTCTGGTAGTTTTGACAATCAAAAGATGCATTGAGCTTTTGCATGAAGATTTGAGCAGCCTGAAGCATGTTTGGCATACGTGTGTCTTTCCGTGCATCTTTTCACACGAAAATCAGCCCAAAATGAGCTTTTTGTGTCTTTTCGACGTTCCGTCTTTTGGCAGCTAGATCTTCCGCATGCCAAATGGAAATAGACCAAAAATCGGTCTTCTTGACTTGTAAACAATCGAAATACCGCACAGTAAGACGCGCCAAACAGGCCCTTAATTATTACATCATGGATTGACCCAGGTGGCTGACCTTACCCACCACCTAGAAAAAAGGCCAATTTCTTTTTTTTTGTTGTTCAATTTTGAAAAAAAAAGTGATTTATATTGTTAAAAGTATTGGATATAGATCTAATAATATAATTTATTGGTGAGAAAATATCTTAAATATATCATTTAATGAGAGAGAATGGACAGTAGTACCTCAAATACATGACTTAATGACAAGGATTTGAATGAGGTGAAAAATAATAGTTCAAATTACATTTTTTACCCTCACAATTAAAAAGGAACAAAATATAATTTACATTTTTATATTTTAATTCTTATTTATGACACTTTTTTTTGTTTGATACAATGAACATACAATATTAAAGATGCACCCAAATATTTTTTTTACAAAATTTATGTATTTTTTTCATTTTTATAATGTTTTTTATTTTTATTATTTAATTATGTCATCAAATATTGGCACATTTGACCTAAAAGTTGAACTGTTGATATGGACCAAATAGGAAATCACTTTCTTTTTTTTGTTGGTTTTAAAATCTGTATATCATTTGCATTATCAATTAAAACATTTTTTGTTTGTGACACTTTTTTCTTTAATATGATTAATATAAAATATTATAGAAATGGCCCATTTTTTCTACATCTTTTATTCAACTATGACATCATGGATTTACCCAATTGGCCCAGATGGTTGAATTGGCTTACCCACCACTTAGATGGAAGAATGGTTTCGGTTTTTTTTTTTTTTGTTAATTTGAAAAAGGTAAATTATTGAAACATCCCCTGATGTTTCTAATCATTGCTGAAATCTCCCCTAGAGTTTGGTGATTGCAATCACCTCCCTTGAATTTTCTAATATAGTTGCGAGTAGACCCCCCTCCTTAGATTCATCTAACAAAAGGCACACAAAATGTCCAAAATACCCATGTAGTTATTATTGAGGCTAGTTTTTGCATAACAAACAATACAAACTTTAAACAATAAATAAAGTTTAAAATTGCAACTTTACCATTGAGGGATTCATATGAAAGGAAATTTTATAAAATAAATCAATTTCAAAAAAGATTGAAAGGGTTTAGGGTATTGATTGACATGAAGGGAAAACTCGGAAAATAAACATTTTAGACAAAGTAACTACATGGTTATTTTGGGTATTTTCATGCCTCTCGTTAGAGAATTATAAGAGAAATGTTATACTTGCAACTATGTTAAAGTTCAAGAGAGGTGATTGCAATTACTAAACTTATGGGGAGGTTTTCAACAATGGTTAGAAACTTCAAAGGACGTTTTAGCAGTTTACCCTTTAAAAACATGGGTTTCATATTGTTAAAAATTATTTTTGTATGTGATAAAGATCTAATTATTATAATTATTAAATAAAAAATTAATTCAAATACAAGATTTAATGTGAACGAATGTGAGTTAATACCTTAAATATAAGACATAATGAGAGGGAATTAAATAAGGTGAAAATTATAAACGATATTACATCATTAGCTCTTAGAATTAAATAGGGACTAAATTCAAAAGTAGGGGTAGTTTAGTAAAGTTCTACATCCTCACTTGTAATTTTAATAGTATAAATAAATATACTATATGTAAGTTTGTATGTATGTATAAAATAAAAGTAAATATACACAAAAAATTCTGACTTCACGTGGAAATTTTAAATTACAATAAAATT